ACTATAAAGATGATATATGCCCTTGTGTTAAACCATATTCAAACACGTATGTGCAGAGGGAATTATAAATCTCTTTAATTATGTTATTAGTAACCAATGGTAAAGATTAGTAGTTAATAAAATAAACACACAAGAGTGTAGAAATTCCACCTGGGTCTAGATTTACTCTTATTAACTTTGAATTTCAGAGCATGTATAATTTGTCAAATTCTTAAATACAGTCTATAATTTTGAAGCTGTTTTTCTGTAATTTCTTTTAAGGACCACGGAAACCCAACTTCAAAGTTAAGACTGAATTAAACAATTTACTGAATTCCACACACGTTGAATGCATCAATAGAGTAAATCTTAATCCAGGGGGAATTTCTCTCTCTGAATGCCTTATCACAAATGGTTATTAAAGCAGAGTCCATATGAACATTTAATAGAGATAATTGGATAAATATTTGAAAAATTCTAGTAATAAAGGTTAAGAGGAAAGAGCAGGGTTCTAGTGGGTCAATGAGCTGCAAGCAATGATGTCAAGAAACTGCACAAAGGATCAGCCACATCCGTCAACATGAAAAGGAGGAAAGGGACCAAATATGTCAGAAATATTTGCTAAATCCCATTTCTTGAAAAGCTTTGTTTTATGAAGGGTCAAGAGTCAATTAAGTTCCGTCAATCTCCACAGTTCATACTTGACACGTCTAGGACACACAGACTTGTGATTCTGCTTCCTCATTCAGCAGGGACTGCTCTGTGTGACGGAGCATTTGGAGAGCAGACTTCATCTGTTGCAGCTGGTATGCTCTGTTGAGGTTAAAGCAGAGTCCATAAGAACATTTGAAAGAGGTTTGGATAAATATTTGAAAAATTGTAATAATAAAGGTTATGAAGAAAGAGCAAGGTTCTGTTGGTTTTGCTCTATTGTTTGTAGCAGCAAGAGCATGTAGGAAAGAACCACAACACTGCTCTAAATGATGGCGGTGGTATCAAAAAGATCTAAACTCATCCATTGAGACAGGTAAACAAACCAACAAGAAATCATAATTTGTTTATAGTAATAAAATTCCACTGAGGTAAATAAAAATAATCCCTGCGTTTGCTATCATGCCTTTGATGTTGGGAGGACGTCTCAAAGTGACGTTAAATTTCTAGCAGGATTTAAAAAGGTCCTGAAAACAAAAACAGAAGTTGCTGGGAACACTCCAGCATCTATGGAGAAAGGAAAGTGAGACATCATTTTGGGTCCATGACCCTTCACGAAACGTTGACTCACTTTCTCCATAGATGCTGCCTGACCTGCTGAGTGTTCCTAGTACTTCTGTTTTTGTTTTCAGATTTCCAGCATCTGCAGTAATTTGCGTTTTGTTTAAAGAGGTTCCTGTCTGTCTGTTCAGGAGGATGTTAAAGATCCCTTGGCAATATTCAATAAGAAATGGAAGTTTCTCCCAGGGTCTTGACCAACAAACCCTAAATGAAATTGATCATTGAGTTCATGACTGTTTGTGGGATATTATTGTGTGCAAATTGGTTTCCGTATTTGCCTACAAAATACACAGCTAGTGTACTTCACAGTAAATCCTGTGAAGTGCTTTGAAACAACCCTGTGATGTGGAAGGCACTGTCATCAAATGTAAGGATTATTATCCTTGTGTAGTTAGACTTATACTGCAATTGTAATGCTGAAAAGAAGACCTTTAGGAAGAATTAAGTGGGAAGCAACAGTAAATAAATAAAAGAACAGAGGAAATAACAAATGGTTTAAGACCATTTTAAAGGAGGTGGAAAGAGAATACATTCTTTCAGTAGAAAAAATAAAGATATCTAGCCCAAGGACACAATGGCGTAAGGAAGTATTTAAAAGATTCAAGAAAATAAAAAATATTGAAAACTGGGATTGCGTAAAAAATGTGTAAGGTTAGCTAAGAAGTAGGAAGACAGGTTTCAAACAAGTCAGATCCAAAGATGTTTCAGCTGTATAAGCAGTAATCAGTACATTCATGATGAGATAATTCCTCTAAGTGATAAGTTAAGAAGGCATAGAATATAAGGAGATAGCAATAGATTACTGTACATTAATTTTCACAAACAAAGGTTAATCAAATTCCAGATTGAAACTTTCGGCTCAGGAACATTTAGGGAGAATTAGAGCATGCATTTGGAGAAAGTCAAAGAATTGAAGGCATTTTACTCCGATCCTTGGTATCCTCCTCTCATTTATATACCTTTACAGCAAAGACTGGCTGCAAATTTGTATCTCTTCCTCTGCCTTTGCTGTGGTTCTACCACCTTTGTGAACATGACTAAGCCATGGCCCTGGCAGCCTCAGACTGCTTAAGACCCTCGTCTCGTTGAAGCAGCTATGTAGCAGCCCCAATATAAATAAATACAGCACAGACCACATGACTGATATCATGAGTTCACCATAAACCTCTCTACCCCAGCACAATCCCCCTTTGAGATTATTAAAATGTCCTGTCCTCCTGCTAGGTTTAGTAGCAAATTGCTGAGTTTGGAAGAAGGGGAAAGGAATACAGTGTTGAACCCACATCATACCGCTCCATGCATACCAACATGTTGCTATCAGCAACCAACATCAGTGAATGAGAACTGAGGGCTCTTATGGTTCAATGACAAAGTAAATATCTATGCAGAACAATGAGGGACTTAAGGAGCATGTCAAGTATTTGAATAAATTGACGCGATTGATGATGAGTAAAGCATTTCTGATTTAGAGTTCTCCCCTCAGTACCTCCATACCTCAGGCGCTGACAGCATCACCATCCATGGTTGCACCCTCCATCCTACTAATCCAGTCCAGAACCTTGGGGTCTTGTTTGACTCTCAATTGTACTTTCTATCCCACGTTTGTGCCATGAACCGCTCTGCCTTCCCCCACCTCCTGAAACCCTCATACAATCTTTCATTACATCGAGGCTTGACTATGCAAACACCTTGCTTGTCGGCCTCCCGAACTCCTCCCTCCACAGGCTGCAGATCATCCAGAACTCTGCAGCCCGTGTCCTCTCCTGCACCAGATTCCGTGACCCTATCATCCCCATCCTCGTCCGACTCCATTGGCTTCCCATCACACAGAGGATACAGTTCAAGATCCTGGTCCTCACCTTCAAAGCCCTCCATGGTCTTGCTGCCCCCTACTCTGTGACCTCCTACCCTCTACCATCCTGCTCGCTCCCTCCGCTCAGCGGGCTCCGGCCTGCTTCACGTCCCCCACCTCTCTCTTTCCACTATTGGCGGGTGGGCCTTCTGCCACTTTGCCCCCACCCTCTCGAACTCCATCCCGCAGTCCCTCCACCTTGTCCCCTCCCTTGCCTCCTTCAAGACCCATCTCCTTCAAGACTCTTCTCTTCGTCCATGCTTTCGATCACCCTGCTTCCCCCCTGCCCTCCACCCTCCGAATCCCGACCCCCAGCTCGGATCCGAACCTCTGTCTGTCCAGTGCCTTGGGACGTCTTCCCGATGTGAAAGACGCTATACAAATGTTGTTGTTGTGCCACAACTCGGTAGCACACAAACCGTCCTGAAATGCAACATTTCACTTAGTTCCCTGCGGGTTGTATTTCAAAGTTATCAGGAATCAAATCTGTCCTACACCCATAATGAGCATGCATTTCCCTCCCTGTGAAGTTCCTTGTGTTTAGAAAATAAAACTTTGTTTAAAGTCACTATCGTCTCATGAGGCAACAGGATTGCGGCTGCAGATTGAAGTATGACTGAGAATCCCCTTCACCCTGTCCAGCATGTACCAACTTTAACCCTTGACCAACCATTACACCATCACTTCACAGTGTATGTTGTTATGTACCACACCACCACCACCAACAACAAAATTACATTTATAGAGCGCCTTTCATGTCGGGAGGACATCCCAAAGCGCTGAACAGTCAGGTGTCTGGGCCTGAGCATGGGGGAGGAGTGGTGTAGGGGTGAGGGAAGGCAGAGAAATGGGAGGGCGACCAAAGGCACAGCTGAAGAGAAGGGTCTTGAGACTGCTCTTAAAGGAAGCAAGGGAGGAAGCGAGGCGAAGGGACCGTGGGATGGAGTTCCAGAGTGTGGGGGCAGAGAGGCTGAAAGCCCGGCCACTGATGGTAGGGCGGGTCGGGCGGGAGACATGAAGCCTGATGAACGGAGGGAGCGGGCAGGTTGGTAGGGAGTCAGCAGGTCAGAGAGGTAGGAGGGGGTAAGGCCATGGATGGCCTTAAAGGTGAGGACAAGGATCTTGAACTCGATCCTCTGGGGGATGGGGAGCCAGTGGAGTCAGGCGAGGGTGGGAGTGATGGGGTCACGGAGCCTGGTGTGTGGGAGTACACGAGCTGCAGAGTTTTGGATGATCAATGTATTGAGTTGTAGCACTAAATCAGAAATGCTTTATTCCTCATCAATCAGTGATCAATTCCTACGAGCCAACTATTATTCTACTTCAGTCAATAAATTTCACAAAATATTCCTCGTGTGCTTTGAAATAATTCTATTAAATGTAACATCATACCAAAAATGTACACTATAAGTATACTTTAAAATTTCACCAGATTTCATCTCAGAGGGACAAATTTATAAAACTCGCTGGACAGGGGAGAATAATGGGTAATTAGTGGAAATAAATGTTCAACATACAGCAGAATAACTTAGCTCAGAAACTGCTGATAAACCGGTGTATTGTGTACACATTTTAGATATACTGGCCCTATTTTGAACTGGCAAGAACTGTAGCTGCCCTCAGCACCGTAGAGTGAAGACAAGAACCTTTGGCATGACAATACACAAGTGAACAAACTATGTAGTTGAATACTCGTGTCCTTTCTGACTAGGATCAGCTGCTCTTTTCCAGTTCGTGTGTGGTTTGTCTTGTTTTCTTAAAAGGGTCAGGATGATCCTTTTATCAGCTTGACGTGAGTGATCTGTCAGTGATCTGACCCGTGTCGTCAGTTGGGAACCCCCCCCGCCCCCTCCCCCACAAGAGCCACCTGCCTTGCAATCATGAACTATCTGCCTCTGGTCTGACCAGGCTGTAGGAAGTACTGAGCATATGTTGCTTCTAGTCCTATTTAAACACTGAGTGTGAGTTAATGTTGAGAGATGACAGTGGGTGCTGTTCACTATAACCTGAGGTATAAGAGGATCTGCTGCTATTACATTGGCCTGGCTTTTCCATCGCTGTACTGTACAACTTACTGAAGGCATCCACATCATGATTAGAGTTTGCTCCTTTGCATGAGCTTTATGTTCATTTGAGTTCCATCACATTGCTACACAACTGACTAGAAGGCTGGTGTATGTGAATAGTTATTGCATCAGCTATGGCAGACTCTGTATTCCTTGAGAAACAGATTACCTATGTGGTAAGTGAAGTTTTATTTTTCTAACCATCTTTAACTTTATTTTTATTGCTTTATTGGCACCTGCTGAGTAAATATTTTTAAAATCTGTTTTTGGAAAGCTGAGAAGTATTCATTAGTGTGAGTTTTGCAAATATCATTCAAACTTTACTTGTTTTTAAATCTTCTGAATTGGTTCCATTTTTTATTTAATTTACTTAGTTTCATTCCAAGTTTCATCTCGAAGGAATGAGAGCTCCTTATACACACTGGCTCCATCTGAAAGACTTATTATTTAGTCTTATGTGTACGGGCAGTAAAAATAACAGTTCAGAAAATTAGTTTTCACATGATCTGAGATGCCTTTAACTTGCTTGTTTTTAAAAGAGAAGTGCAGGAATGCATAAAACCGATTTACTTAAAATATGCGCCTGCTGTTTCCTCCGTTCTGATGACATTCACTGCACATGTCGTTCTTAAAGTGTTTTGGTTTTTCTGGACAAAATAAAAAAAGCCAAACATGTTAATAAACTGATCTGTGACTTGTTAGAGCCACACTCGGACTGCTGGTTTAATAGGGTACAGATCTTTCCTGAGATATTCAGGCATAGGTACAGTTTCCAGCTCTGCAGGCAATAAGGCGCCTTTAAGTAATATTGGTAGATCGGGTGCTTTCTAGCCACATCCTGTTGTGTAACTGATATCTAACTCATTTGTCCTTGTCGTTTAATAGCACATTGTGATAGTTGGGCAAAGCTCAAAATATTACTGTATTACTTATAAATGATACATTTGAAAAATGACTGAGGATTGAAACCTTTGGTTCTGGAGGCAGATGTGGCTTGATGAGAAATAAGAGTTCCTTAAAACAAAGCAAGGGTAGCAAACACTGACTGCATTGCATGGCTGTGAACGCTCCAGATTTTAATACCTAATTTACTGTAAGCTCCAGTGCAGTCCAATGTATAACTCATTAACAGTCAAAACAAAATGAACAGGCTTAGAGTTGAATAATATAAAAACTTCAGACTGGACACTCACTGGTTTTGAAGAGTGCTGACAACAGGTCATTGACCTGAAACATTTAATTCACTTTCCTCTCTCCATAGATGCTGCCTGACCTGCTGAGTGTTCCCAGCGACTTCTGTTTTTATTCGTGTATTTTACTTCATCTACTTACAGGTTTAATGCTCAGCTTAGATTTGATTCTGTAGACGTGTACCGTTGAATAAAGTGAAGGATTGCTGGTAATGGGAGAGGTTGAGGGTGAATTTTCCATATGTTGTTGCTTTCAAGTGTTCTATTTCCGGCAATACAAAATGTTATGCAAATTTCTTACACTACAGGCCCCTGTTTACTGAGCAGTAAGTAGGAACCTGGTTGTTAGTCGATTGACCGATCGCTTTTCTGGGATGATAATAATACCAAACAAAAAAAATAATAATTTGGTCACTCAGTATATGACTGTTTGTGGGACACTGCTGTGTGCAATTGGCTGCCGCGTTTCACCCACAAATATACAGTCAATTCATTTTACAGTATATTCTGTGAAGCGCTTTGAGACATCGAGAAGATGTGAAAAGCGCTATATCAAATGCAAGGATTATTATTATATGTATGCAAGTTGTTGTAAATTAAAGTTCAGATTTTACTGACATTTATTTTGCAAAGGTCTGCTAATGCCCCTTTGATTGCAGAAGATATAATAATCCTTTTAGTTTGCATTTGATGGTATTTTCTTGTAGCATTTTTTTGATGTATAAAAAATTAACAGAGTATATTCTTAAGATATGCTTGTTTAAGCGCTCCGAGACATTACTTCAGGTGAAGGGTGCTATATAAATGCAAGTTGTTGTTGAAATCAGCCATAGGTTTTCTGCTGACGAGTCTAACTTCTAAATGGCTTTATTCTGAGAATTTTAAATAAATAATAATAATAATACAGTACTTGCATTTGATATAGAGCCTTTCACTTTGGGATTATGTTTCAAAGAGCTTCACGGGATATATTATAAAGTTTAGTGACTGTGTTTGTAAGTACCTACAGCAGCCAATTTGCACACCAGAAATGTCCCACAATCGCCTGAAGTATATACACAGATGTACTGATATTTCTGTGAAATAAAATCTGTCATAAATCATTTTGATTTACATATTTCCAATCATCCATGTCTTGGTTAAATGAACAGCCATCTGAACATGGCCAGGCGTCAACTCTTTTTTCATCTTGTCATTGTAGTTCGGCTTTGCAAGCTGCAGAGTGACTGAGCACTTGAATTTCCATACAGATTAAAATGGATCCAGGCTTTTCTTATTACCAGATGCATTTTATTATACAAATGCAATTTGTTGTTGTTGTTGATACAGGCAGCAATGTTGATACTTTATCTTAAACTGGAATGATGAGTTTAACATCACCTTGTACCTTTATGCTTTTGGGCTCATTTAAAAAAAGAGCTCTGATGTTTCTCAAGGTTTGACAATTGTTGTACTGAAACTTGAAAAGGCAGCATTTGCTAGAGAAGTGATGGAAATATGTTCATTTGCTTAATGCTTCCTCTTCCCAGCAGTGAAATAAGTAAGGTGTGCCAGCTATTCAGGTCTGCATAGATGCTGCAGAGGAACGGGGTAGGTTTGTCTTGTAGAGGAATCAACGTTTCGCCTTGCTGTTTTGCCTAGGTATTTAAAGGCCATGTCTGTCCGTGCATATGCGACTCGTGTTTCTTCGAAATTGTCTTGGGCAAGTGGGATATCTTTGTTTCCATATAAATAAGCTCAAGATTCTGGGAGGAAGGAGGTGGGGATTGTGACTTACTGGAAGATGTTATCTGCAGAAGGTGATGTTACATAGTTTACTGCCTTCTAGCGTGGATTTGTATGTCTATTCCTGAGCCTGTTACTCAGTGTTTTATGACAAGAGATATAAGGAGGACGAACCTGGGTAACACTGAATTTGATTGTAAGAGATATTTTGGAGTTGATTTTAGAGGAAAAAAAACGGTAGCACTGACACAGACCTGAATAGCTGGTACACCATACTTATTTCACTGCTGGGAAGAAGAAGCACTAAACAAATGAACATATTTCCATATGGAAAAGAATAAAGTGATCAAGGATAGTCAATTCAGAATCAAAATTAATCAACCTGAAGTTTTCAAAGCAATAACAAAGCAGAGATGAGGAAAATTCAGTGAATGCTGCTTGATAAAATTCAGAAGAGCAATCAAAAGAGAACTGGTTAAGCAAAGATATTAACAGATATGGGAAAAGACCTAGAAAGGGAATTAATAAGAATGGTAACTTAGCCAAACCCAGATGTAGTAATGCATACTGGACGGTATCTCAAAGTGCTTAAATAGCCTCCTTGTGCTGAAAATGCCTTTTTCTCTCAGTCTACTCCTTTCCTGGAGAGGAACTGGCAGGGTGTTGTCATTTGTGCTCATTAAGCAGGAGTAAAGCTAGAGGATTTGGATCTGTTGTCAGCTACCTCAGCTTCAAAAACTACATCCCTTAGCCTAAACGATGATAGTTTAGTTTCCTTTAACCCCTATTTCTGATATCATCCACAAAATACACACAGACAGATAACTTTATAGTATATCCTGTGAAATGCTTTGAGATATCTCAATGACACAAGGCACTAAATCAAATTCAAAGATTATCATTCTCATGAATCTATGGTGCATTTACTCCAATACTGCTATATCCTTCCTGTATTGAGGTGCACAAAATTGCATGCTATACTCCAAACTGCAGTCACTCTCACCAGTGCCCTGTGCATCCTCAACCATACTTTCTACTTTTATATTCTATGCCTGTAGCTATGAACCATAACATTCAACTTTTATAGTAGCTTTTAGTGATCTGTTTACAATTCATAAAATCACAAGATTAGTTTGGATTAAGAAGGATCTTTGGCCCATCAACTATGAGTTTAATAGTTCCACCATAACTGCGTCTTCAGTTACTGCCTTCAGCCACTATGCCCCAACCTCTGGCAATCCCTGCCTCAATCGTCTGCCTTGCCCCCTCTTTACCTGTCTTTCCCTTTGACCTTGCCAATGGTCATCTCCCCTCTCTCCCCAGTTTAGCATCAAACTATGCTATTTTTCAGTACTTTGGGACATTTTTTCAGTATCTCAGCACTCCTGAGGTGAAAAGCGCTATATAATTGTAAAATTGTTGTTGCCCTTCAGCACTCTGAGACTCTACCTTGTGTGAAAGCCACTGCATAAATGCAACATGTTGTTGTCTCATTATCTTGTGTTAAGGGCCTCACTTTTCTTACCTTTTCCTCCACTCCCCAGGAGTATTTGTTTCAGAAATATCTGTCAGAGGGCATGATGAATCAAATGGCCTTTTTTTTGTTCCATGATTTCTTGTGTTAGAAACAAATTGTTCACATTGATTTAAACAAGTTTGCAGTTAAACAGGGTGCACTCAGCACTGGTCCCAGTCTAAACTTGTTCACTGTCATGATTTTTTGTGTGTGCACATTGTGTAAACCTTTATAGGGATTGTTTTTCATTACTTCTTCCTTTCAGTAAAGGATTGCACCAGGCAGCAGAGGGCTGCAGAATGCAGTAGTGGTAAAGGATTGCAACAGGAATCACAATTGAGCTAAATTGGCACTGCCAGTTTATGCTGGTTTGCAGCTGAATCAGTACTCTTAAAACCAACTCCCATTCACATTGGCTCCAATTCAACTTAGATTTTGTTGGGGCTGCTGTAAATGAAGATCACAGAAATAATTTGCAGCCTATTTCCATGTCAAAGTGGCCTCCCATGTGTTGTACACTGCAGAGTAAGCAAGGACATTCAGGGATTAGAATATGTTTTGTTTGGCTTAATTCAACTCCATTATTCAAGCATTAGTTTTGGCAACAGCAAATATAGCTGTGAGTGATTTGAACTGTAATCCCATCAGAAGCAGGCAATCTCCCCGCACCACCTCCACCCTCCAAAATAATAATAATAATAATAATCCTTGCATTTGATATAGCGCTTTTCATGTCGGGAGGACA